AATCCCTGAGCAAGATTTTTCCATATCTGTTCTCTATTTTTAATTTTGCAAATCTCATAAAACCTAGTTAGAGTGAAACTTGCAGGATTGCACTGAAATAACTCCTGTTTGCTGCAGAACTGTACAGAGATTGTTATTTTGCTTGACCCATCTTCAGGAATTCAGTACTGGTCTTAATTTTCTATTGGATTGTGTAGAATGATAAGAAAGCAATGGTGAAGCTGCCACTTTCTTTATAGCTCTATTCATCTTCTCTACAGGGAAATACTTGGCATTGCCATTCTTACAAAAGGAAAAGCATAGACTTTGTGTTGTTCCATCTAACGTACTCTGCCAATAAAGAATGGTTTTAACAGCCAGTCTGACTGAAAAAATAAATTACTGCATTAGAGTCTTGTTTGTTCTTATATTATACACGTGCAGAAAAGTATTATCATCAGTAAATGTAGGCAATTAGTAGGTGATAGGGTATATAGGGGCTATCTCAATTAGACTTTTGTTTTAGTAGGGAAGGTTTTATGATTAAAGACAGAGAGTAAACATTTAATTTAAATAACACAGTATGTTTTAAATTTGCACAGCACTACAAAAATCCTTCATTTCATCAGTGGCTGATGAATTCTTATCATGGGATTATGTATGCTCCACTGTTTCTCTTAACAGAAATCATGTCCATGAAAATTCTACTAGGCTGTTATGTGGAAAGCACTAAATTCTTCTGAGTTGCCCAAAGCTTTGCTGAGGGACAGAAAGGAAGAGGAAAAAGGTGCTGCTTTTTTCTTAAGCACCACAAGAAAGCAACACGTACCTAAGCAAAGAGAAATCTGGTGTTCTAGACCCATCTCCACACCACAGAACCTAAATGCCATAAAAAAATCCTCTCCCAAATAGCTGAAAAATTAGCATCCAGCCAATTTGTGAGCAAGCAGCAGCTAAATAAAACAGCAGAGAAGTGATTGTTCTTTCTTTTGCTGATGGCATGATGGAGGCATATTCCAATCATGAGTTTATGAACAGTCATTCTTTCTGTGCCAGCAAAATATGAGAAGTTCAGGTATGAACTCCAGGGAGACTATTATCGTATCTGACATGCCCTTTGGAGTCATGTTCAAACACAGAGATCCTGAGTGTTCAAATCCAGAGATCCCGAAACCTGACAAAGTCAGGGAAAGAAGACTTTAAACAAAGCTAGCGTTGGAACAATTTATAAGTGTCATTGGCAGGAAGTGAAGGCACTTTAAAGAGACAACTTTGCCTTACAGTTTGTTGTTTGTTGCCAAGATCCATAACCTCCAGCTCCCAAACGCTCTGTGGCAGTCAGCTGTTTATTTAAAAGCCTTTCAAAGAATAAGTGAGTATGCTGCACAGACTGAGCTTGTGACTGACACACTTTGAGATGGCATGGAGGCTATGTCCCAGCTTGCAATAATAAGGATGTTAGCTCCAGAGTTTTACAGCTATGGTAACTACTTTTTTCCCACTTTAATATACCTGGTGCTCTTATGTGGCTACTTTGACTCCCTTCCTCACCTGTAAATATTTACCAGAACATGCAAGGAGGTTTTTTGTAAAGCAACAAGCTGAGCACCAAACTCATCTTCAAAAGACGTATTTTGAAGCAGAGTACTCACTGCTGTTAAACCTTTTCCAAGAAAAACAGAAGACACCATATTTTATAAGCTATTTTCTACTGAATATGCAAACATAATTAATTGTATTAAATACGTAGTATTTCCGACTCCTCTCCATACATCCAGTAAGTCTGCATAAAACCAATTAATGCAGAGAAAAAGCAAACAAAACATTCAGCAAACAACTCATTATCTCAAATCCTCTGTGTACCAGGAGTCACATGTTGAATTTGTCTGTGGAAGCACACATACATCATGGTCAAATTCAACCCAAAGACTAATCTAAAAGATTACTCTACTATGCAGCCAGATGAAATTCTTCTTTAACCCACCAAGGCAGGATCAGAACAAACAAGAATTTCCTATACATTTCCTGTCTGGAGAGTCCTCTGTACAGCAGAATAGCAATAAAAGCTAAGGCTCTTTCTCTTTCATCTTTCTATCACTTTACACAATACAAAAACTACATACCATCTTTGCAAAGCTGGACTGTAGAAGTTTAACTTCCCTTAGAGACTTAGTTCTGCTCTGCTGAGAAGCTGATTTTTTTTCACTCTTAAAATGTAACTGAAGGCTGTGCAAAGGCAGGGAATGGATAGAGTTGCTTTCTTATGCACTTTCACCTGCCAGAATACAAATGAGAAAAGTGTATGACCTGAATTTCACAGAAATACTGCAGTGAATCAGCCCTCCGAAATACTTCTTGGCAACCTGCTTCCTGAGAGTATTCGCTATCTAATTAACCCTTGTCTTCACTCAAAAGCTAACAGAAATGAATGAAGAAATAAACAAGAATTTTGAGACTCACCCCCTCTTCCTGCATGTTACACAGCTGCCCTTACTCCCTTCACTCAAGCAACCAGCTCGGTTAGGCTTTTCTAAACAGTTACAAACAGCATCATCATTTCTTCCCTGGAATAAAGAAGCTTTCACTTTACTCACAAGAGACAAAAGAACAGGCTCACCTGATTTTCAGCAGAGGTTAAACACAGACACTTTAGGTTTGGATCCTTCAGAGGCTGAAGCTAATGGGAAAGCTCTAGCCAGAGTCTGTGGGCTCTAAAAGCATCTTTACTGCTTAGGCAATAAAGTTTATGGTAGGATGGCCACTCCTCTGCTTTGGACTGAATCACTAAGCCATTGCAGGAACTAATTCACCATTAGACTGCCAACTCGTTGCTGCACTGTGTTTGAATCAACAATCAGGGATGAGAGATTTGTCATTCCATCCCAGATCACATACTGTCAATTAAAACTTTGTAGTGTTGGACTTACAAAGCAAAGCTGTTGCTTCAAAATCGCACAGCATTAGCGAAAGCAAAACTCATCATATAACCTCAACAACAAATGGTGAGCAGAACCTCCTGATTTTTAAAGCACTGAAAATGTAAGTTGGCTTGCCAGCCACCACTTTCACTTCCATGACAATTTTCATCTGACGAGAATGAGAAATGCTCCCAGTTTCATTATCTCAATTAGTCTTGGGAGAGTTACTTCAGAGATGAAACACTGTGAGCAATGTTGTGGTATTGGTTAGATTGGATCGTAACTCCTTGAAATCTGTGGTACAGTAGCACCCACCTTCTTCCACGTAAAATTAAATTTGACTATTGCTAACAGATATTTTGCAGTCTCCTCTCATACCATAGTCATGCCAGCAGAACTGCTCCTGACTTATACATGTGTCAAAAGCAATGTAAACCAGCTTCTGATCTTTTATGACAGGTCTTAACTATACAACGGGGCATAAAGAATGGTGTTGTGGCTCATGCTGTTTGGTTTGGTGATACACAGAGCCAGTGTTCTGGATGCTCTTCTGCACTAAATGCTTAATATATGTCTGTCCTGGTATGGGCAGCTCAGATAGATAACTCCTTCCAACACTTCAGCTTCTCTTCTTTGTTTTCAGAGCAATGTATTTCTGAAGATAATGTGTATTTCTGAAGTGTGACAGTCATCAACAGCTTTTCCTGAGGGACTATTCCACGGCATGAATAATGCAGTTGGGTGAATTCCCTTGCTGGCAGAGCCATGACTGAGCATGGTAATCGCAGATTTGGAGATGATCCCAGAACAGAGAACCAGACCCTCACAAGCTTCATCCACAGCATCAGCATCAGACATCAATGCTGTCCCCAGCCTTATGTATGCAAATACAGAGACAGCAACTCAGTCTAAATATCAGGTATACCAAGTCAACATACGGAAATAATAAACCAGTCCTACGCATGCAGATACCACTAAAAAAACCCACAACCAACCACACACCGTGATCACCATCATGCCTGAGTCACTGCTGAGTTAAAAACATGAAATATCATTTTGTCATATACTTTCTATTAAATCACAGGTAATAAGAATGTTAAATGACACACTGTTTATAAACACACACCTTTCATCACAGCACTGTAGTGAGCATTACGCAAGCTTTAGAGGGCTGCTGGGAAGATAGCTGGTATAATTCCCATTTCATTAATCAAGAAAGTGAGGAGACATGACTTCTCCAGCATCAAACACACAGTAAGCTGTCTAGCCAGCAAGACCCTGTCTGAAAACCAACTCTGCATCAGCTGATTTTAACATTTTTCTTTCCAAAATGTAAGTCTCCATTTTGAGCACTTGCATAGTCTGATCCAAAGCCAGCTGAAGCCTGTAAGAAAGCATACATTTGATCCAAATCCCGTTAAGGTCCAACATTTTGTAGACTTCTCAT